AAAAGTCAGATCTTACTATAACGTAGAGGGAAAAGGAAGTTGTTAAAAGGGCCATTTCTTTTAGAAAAGTTGGTATCAACATGGCGACCACTGTAGTTGAAGGCATTATTCCACTGGGGACTATATATGCACTTCCTAGGAATGGAAATTGTTGCTCTGTATTCGAGTTACCCTAGTGGGTTGTGTCATCAAGGAGGGAACATGATCTGAACAACTGAAACCCAAAATAAAAAGGATAGCTGAAAATTCGTATATGTGTCTTACAAGTCTCTGAACAAATATTAGTCATTTCAAGCCCCGGACGTAAAACTTGGTGGAGAATTATGTGGTTCTTTCAACATTGTAGCACATAAGTAACATTCTGATAATGTTTAATACTATTGACGGCAAATTCCGATATTGGACAAGATCTTTATCATTTTCCACTTTCTCCCGTTCTCACGCCATGTTTGTCGGACTTTAAAACCAAATTAGGTGTTTGATGTGACACATTATTTGAAATTTTTTTATCCTTGCCATAATTCATAATTTATCAAAAGTATTTCGTTTCGAAAATTAGTTCCATTCTGTCTTCGGGCTAACAGGATATTAAGGAAAAGCGACGCTGTTGGCCCCCTCCCCCGGTAGGGTCAATGATCTGAGAGTAGCTGTTCCTGAAGATGGAAAAAGACCTAACTTTGGAAGTGCAGAGATTTAAATAAAATCTGCCGATGTAAAAATTCCAAAGTAACAGTTTTAAACAAATTAACGGCACACTGCCATCTACTAAGGTGCTTCTGAACCAAAACGTTATGTTGAAACTTCTGTCTTCATGTGGTCCGTTTGGAACTATAAGACAGTTCCGAGAAAAATGTCGCCTCCAACCTCAAGGCAGAAGAATAAGCGAAGCAAAAATCAGGATAAACCAGATTACGTGCTTCATGCTGATTCATTTGCTTGGTTTATTTTTCGACTCTGAAGATGGAGGCTACATGTGCCTCCGAAACGATAGTTGAATTTCAACAGAGTACAAATAGTTATTTATCAGAAGATAAAATTCTTCATAACCACCTCTATGAAACCCTCAGTTCCTAAAAATATATTATGATTTTTTCTATTCTACGCGATCTACTGCATATTCATTCCATAGCAACTGCCTCATTTCATTACTCTGAGAGCCCTAAGCGACCTGTTCCATTCACGAGTTGGCTGTTATGTCACATGCAGCAATGGAAAACGCCTTCCTCCTGCGCATTGATGCTCATTCAATTATCCCATTTTTTCCCCCTTTGGCGCTACAGCCCCAATTTCGACCTTGGTCTACCTCCATTAAACTCTCCGTTTCACTTCAGTTTACTAGACCTCAGACATTCGGTAGGACTTATTGGGCGTGGGATCAGCTCGTCGCAAGACCTCTCTACCTGTACACAAACACAAAATAACGCAAACACATACAACACTAAATATCCATGTCCTGACTGGGATTTGAACACACAATTCCGGCTTCCGAACGAGCGAAGACAGTACATGACTTAGATCGCTCGGCTACCGTGACCGGCCAATTATTCTCTTAGCTGTCATGAAATAAGCGCTTCTTCGATACATACATATATATATTACACTTCTCTAAAGTGCGAAAATAAATGCTAATATGGCCGCAGGAGCCACAAATTGTGGTTTAAAAAAGTAAAATTATGTTGAATTTAAATAATCTTAAAACTTTAACCTCGACAACCGGAATTTATAACACACGGACACATACATATAAAAAGATGATATAAAATAAAGCTGCGGACATTATGCAGTAAAACGAAGCTAGGTTAACGTCATTATGAATATACGTGTTTATTTTCGTATATGTATATTTTTTTTTTAATTTTCTTTGAAGTCCAACCGAACGAAATATTCCACGTAACACCAAAATTTATATCTGTAAGCACGTACTAAACACATGTTCCTATTTCATCTGTTAATCAAATAAAAAGTCGAGGAGAGAAACTGTCAAGAGAACTCAAAATTGATTATTGTGTAATGACGCCTGAAAACCGGAATAGTTCATTGTTAGTCAACAGCTCGGTAAACAGGTTCACACGGAAGTGAACACGCACGCAACAATAGAAGAATTACCGTTTCTATGTAACGACGAAATAATCACTCCTCTATAACAATAGAAGATATGTTAACAAACTGTGTTTTCTGTTACGTCCGAGGATCGAGGATCCCAGGTGAACGCGGGCTCGAATACTTCCACTGTGACCCTGCAACTTGTAGGAGGCGATGAAAAGGGAAGTCTCAAATCTGAGACAGTAAAATATGGTCGCGATTCCCTAGGGACTCGGACCCGAGAAAGTCTGCGCTGGCAAGGACCAGTAGTATGTAAAAAAGACAGACCCGTCCTCTCGTGAGAGAGGGCGCCCCGAAAAAAACAAAACCGTAACGTTCAACAGCAATAAATATCTGGTCATGAGCCCCAGACGGGGCTTGACACCAAGACTTACTGATTGACTGAGCGTCAGTCGCAAATTGACTTGGACTTGGACTTGAGAATAGTTGAGACCTAAATATCAGCCTGTGAAGAGAAGACTTAATGTGTGCTGCAGTAAAGAGAGACTGATGTAATTTCTGTGTCGAAATCCGTTGCCAGGATACGACTAGTGAAGATTGAGAATCCTAATGTATGTAACGGTGAACTGTGAAGTGTGCACGATCAGTGGTAGCACTGTATAACTTGTAGTCTCGAGTTAAGTGTATAAGTGCAGTAAATCCAATCAACAAATCCAACCCATTTTTATAGTCACTAATAGACGTGACGGTATTAAATATTTCATTCCAGAATGTAGCTAGAGAGAGACTGATTGATGGTCTTTCTTCAGTAATTTACAGTGTTTCCGCTTTTGAGGAAATTCTCTGCTTTAAATAAAGCCGACGGTTTATGGATGTGCAGTTTTCCACTAAAATCCACCTGATGACTTTGTCCCCTTCTTATATTCAGTGCATTCCTTCATTCGGAATATACAGAATGTCCATAAGAAAGGTATCTAAAATAAAATAGTTATATATCAGAAAGCTTCTATTATACACATTTACGGGTTACACAACCAAAAAAGGAAAATATCCAAGTCTTTCCTGCGCATATTACTTTCTCAATAAATTTCAATGTGGGCTCCCTTGGTGGCACGACAAATATCCAGATGATCCAGCATGTTTTGTGTTACCATAGCCACAGCGTCCCTTATGCGGGCTTTCAGATGTTGCAGGTCGTTGATCTTAACCTCGTAGACAATGTTCTTCACATAACCTCACAAGAAAAAATTCAGTGGGGTTAAATCTGGCTACCCAGGAGGCCACGCGATTGATCCAATTCTGCCGCTCTATCTTCCTGCCATCACTGTTCAAGTGATTCATATCACGGTGGCAGAAATGTGGCGGCGCATGCGCGTAAGCCGAATTGAAAAGAAAAGCCTACAGGGTTTTCCTTTACCGATGACATAAACCGGGTACGTGTATGAAAATTACTTTCCGAGATATAAATTCTTTATTTTGGATATCTTTAATCCGGACAACCGATATTTCTCTTAAGAGGAACTTGCGTCCACAACAGATAAAATTAGAATTATTCAGTCAACGAGGATGGGACAGAAAAGGCATGTAGCACGCACGGGGAAAAAAGAAAATTCATAGAAGTTTTTATTGTGAAAACCAGAACGAAAGGAACTGCCAGAAAGACCTAGAGAGAGAGAGGACAATTTTGCGACCAGTGCTTGTATGTGGAACACTAACAACAACAGCATTACAACAAATAATACTTCCTGTCAGCCCAGGGGAAAAATTGTCACATTCAGGGACTGAATCCATATACTACATAAATTACCACTCAATATGGCAAACAAAAATAAGGAATTAAATATCGCGAAAGTAACGGTTATAGGAAGGGAAAAAATCGAATAAGCCATAAGAATTAAAACAGAAACGCGAGAGAAACACAGATACAAAAACTGACAACATTTACACGTCAACGAGCTGTTTAGAACACGAAAGTACAAGTCAAATTTACAAAGACCAATGCAGTCGAAACAAACCAACACACATGAACACACTGGCATATACAGAATAACATGTTTTGACAACGATGTGCCATGCATTACACAAGTATATGGTTGTTTATGCATAAGATATAAAGAACACATACACAGAATTAAATACAACAAAGACGATTCTGGATTTTCCACATATAGACTGTTGTAGCAGCAAGGAGAATAATATGGGAATAGCCGGTCACGTGAGAATAGTTCGGATTATGAGACGAAAACGAGCAAATGAGACTCATAATTAAAGCATCCCCTTCGCTATAGCTTATGTATAGCTTATACAGTGTTGCCGATCACGGCGGCTGCGCAGTCTAAGGCTTGAACCGTCTTAGCTCGCTCGAAAGCTGGGATAGTGGGTTCGAAACCCACTCAAGGCTTGGATGTCTGTGTGCGTCAATTCTGTGTTTATGTTGTTCTGTGTGTAGGCAGAGGCCATGCGACGGGCTGATCCCCCGTCAAAGGAGTCCTACCGACTGTGTATAGGAACAATAAACTGGAAAAAGCGGTCAAGGCCCAACAAAGGACTGTAGAGCCATAGTAGTAGTAGTAATAATAATAATAATAATAATAATAATAATAATAATTCAATTCTTCATTATTAATGTGCCGAGTCAACAGACGCAAGGCCAATTACAGACACAGCACAGTCTGTAATAATAATAATAATAATAATAATAATAATAATACAGAGTGTTAACATTTTTATGGGGTATAGCACTTATTTAAATGAGCAAAAAGTCGCATTTAACTTATGCCCAGAAACCGATGTCTGGTGAGATATAGAAGAGCATTCCATTTGACTGGATACTGGTATAACATTCCAGTATGCATTAAGTGAATATCAGTGCGCGTCATTTGTCTGTTTACCTTTCCTTTGCATGTGCTGTGACCCTGTGACTGTACCAGGTAGACTCAGTATGTGAGTTGCTTGTGTACTAGTGACAGTGGTGCGACCCTCGTTCGGTTCGAAATCCTTTTAGTGATTTTTGTAACGGAATTTTAATACTCTGCTCGGGATATGAAGGACATAGAGACGAGAGAAGATGAGTGAAATTCACAAGAAGCCTCTACGCAGAATATTCTCCATAAAGCAGAATCGCATTCCACAAATTCTTCACCAAACTTCAGCAACTTCTGAACGAATCTGGGTACTTTCTTCATGGGCGTCGGATTGTGGAAGGCGTCGATCAGTTCGTATTCCCGATCTGGAAGTTCGCGTATTACGAATAGTAGAAGAAGATTCTTGAACCAATGTCCGAATTATTGCAACTGCTGCAGTTACCGGTGTTCCTCTTGTCTGGAGAATTCTTCCTGAACAACCAATTTTACAAACGTACATGACGCGCACTGACCTCGCAATATACTCCTATGTTGCAGCGGCATTCCGGCATGCGGTCCAATGCAAATTCGTCTGTAACTCAGCAGTCCTGGGTTAAGGACATGTTGACTGGGAACCTTGGTCATTTTGGTGAGTACTATACTCTCTTAAAGCCTATAACACTTTTAACACCCAGTACATACCTTATACAAATATGCTCTTATACACAAATATATTGGTGCGTGCAAGGAATTAAAAAAAAATAATTAGCTTAGTAGGGGATGGAGTCCAAATGGGTCCACTCGGTACGGCGGCCACTCGGCCTATTGTACCTGCCACTGCTGATTATGATGGTGGAGAATTTTATGGAATGAAAATTGGTAGGGGAAACCGAAGTACTCGGAGAAAACCCGCCCCAACGCCACTTTGTCCACCACAAATCCCACTTGACTAGACCCGGGATCGAACCCGGGCCGCCGCGGTGGAAAACCAGCTACTAACCGCATGAGCTATGGTGCAGCCAATGCGTGTAAGGAAATTGCATATACACAGTACCACATATTTTCAGTAGCCACTGCACGTCTTCACACTATCATGGACTTCAATGGATTGCATGCGTCACACAGCGAGTAATTATCATTTGTTAAAAATGTTTCAATATAAAAGATGATATAGAGCTAAATAAAATCCTATATTTATAGACGGACATATGGCCCACATTTCAGCAGTCTATAAGTTATTCTACTTAATTAAAAGCAGAAAAGAGATTCTTCGGGACAGTCTTCTATCAACTCAGTAAGACAGTTTAACTCTTTTGAATGATTTTGATTAGTAGACTTCATACACACGATTCCATTTTATTGTACTAACTCCTTAGCCTTGATTTATATGGCGACTACTAAACAGCATGTTGAAGCAAATCATGTAAAGTGTTGGTTGTCCCGTCTGATGATGGCCAGTAGTGGCCGAAACGTCCTCTTTGTACCGTGTACCGACCGAGCTATGCCGACTCCCACTGTAAAGAACAAGGTAATGTTAATAAACCAATTATACCTCATGGACTTACAATGTGTACTTGTTCAGGGAATAACAGTTTAACGGTTCGAGATGTTTCTATGAAGACGATTAACATGTTTGCCTTAGTTACCACTGCTACCATGTTACTTATAATAACATGCCTGAAGATTGAAGCCGTGTCCGGAAGATCTGTCTCAACGCTTCAAATTACTGTAATAGTCACGGCTACATTTCGTAATGACAACAGTTCGCAATAAATACCCTAATATATTCGGGGTTTCCCTCTTAGGTGCGTGGCAGGATAGAGAAAAAGTCAGGAAAGTTATATTTCTATATAGGCATAACTAGGCACAAATGCGCATGAATAAATGTTCTTCGACCCCAACAATCTACTAAGGTAGTTGTGTATGTTTGTGGAACCTACTGATCAAAACCTAATGAATATGCAGAAGAAACCACGTGATATGCTTTGGAACGGGGAGATGAAGTAAGGTATACGTAGAGTAACCAAGAAGCCGAGACAAATTTGCGGATATAAAAATAAAGGGTGTAAAAGGAAGAAAGAAAAAAGGCAAATAAATAAATGTATAAATAAATATATAAGTAAACCAAATTAAAGAAGGCATAATTTATACAATTAAGCCTGTGAACATGCCGGTCACGGTAGCCGAGCGGTCTAAGGCATGCACTGTCTTCGCTCTCTCGGAAGCCGAGATCGTGGGTTCGAATCCCACTCAGGGCATGGATGTTTGTGTGCGTTTTTCTGTGTTTGTCTACAGGTAGAGGCCTTGCGACGAGCTGATCACTCGCCCAAGGAGTCCTACCGTACGTGTAAGATCTAGTAAACCGAAGTGAAACGGAGAGTTTCGTGGAGGTAGGCCTAGGCCCAAATGACGGCTGTAGCGCCAAGGGGAAAGAAAAAACCTATGAACATACGTGACACGATGTTGTAATATAAAGTATCAAATTGACGCTGGCAACAAACCGGAATTTCTGGGAAAACTGACCTCTTGCATTCCTTTCAAACTTTGCGTACCACATAAAAACGACGCGTCCAGAAATTTTTCCATTGTTGCACGTGTATTTATTTCCGAGGGAATATGTTTACCGAGCCATTGCCTAGCAAATGATAGGTGTAGCACGTAAACAAAGCGTTTCTCGACATGGGTGTGTTAACAAAATATGATCAAATTGAGCCCACATATCTACCACAGAGCGTCGTAACATATATTTATTTGCACTCTGTATACAGAGAGACAGATAAAATGGTGATATCATAAACCCATTTTCATTTCCTCAAATATGCTAAGTAGGCTATAAAACGTTGCTTGCGTCTTATGACTACAAGATCCAGGGTAAACTATGAGTTTGGAGCCAGTATTGATGCCTCATGACTGTTGTACTGTCAGTTACCATAACTCAGCAGTTTCCAGCTTCTTTTTATGTGCATTTGATGGTACGGGAACCACCGTCAGGTGTAGAAACCGACATTTTGGTGCAATGAGTCTGAATATTGGTGCTGGGTGTGGCTATTTTAAAATAGTTTGTAGTTCCTCTCGATTTATCTAAAAAAAATCCTGGTGTATTGTTCTAAAATAGGTCACAACGGCTTCATCCCATGTTCTGCCCTGTTCACTGTTGTTACTGTCTGTCAGTTTTCGGACCGCTGTATTACGATATGTCCATGTTCGCATTTCTCCAACCAGGTGTCATGTACACTCACCCTCTGATACGTAATTTGGCAACATTTCATTATATCCAGAGTCATAAAATTTGTGACACTAATTAGACTACAAAAGCCGTTAGTCTGCTTGTTATTCATGAATGTGTTCTAACCAATTCATTACCAGACATGCTGCATATCGCGGGCAACCACTGCTAGGTGTCGTGCGGAGCGCTGTTCTAATAACGAAGCGTCCTGTACAACACGCTCTATCGTTACGTCAACAAACACAGCCGGCGGAGTAATATTAAGCTGCTGTTGCGGTAGAAAAATTATTATTTGGACTAGTTTATCACTACGGGTGTAATTCTGAACTTATGTATATAGCATTATCAGTATGTGGACATAGATATGAAGTGAAAGAATGGTGTTTGAATGCAACATGGCCCACGAAAATATCAGTGATGTTTCATAATCCAAAATTATTGTTTAATTACGAAAGTTGTTATTTTATAACATATCATACTATTACAAAATAACAGAAAAACTTTATCTCATTTTACAAAAACGCTGCACTATCCAGATAATATTCTGATAGAGTTTATATAGTTTACCAATAATTAAAATCCTTGATAAGACGAAATGTGACATAAATATAAAGCCAACAAATGCAGAATATTAAAAGTGAAGCAGATACAATTTCCTACATACTTAAAACAGATAAGCCAATATCGATAAATCCTGAACGAATGAGATCAACATAAACACGGCACGTTCCCACATGACGTTAAACAGGGCGGAGTTGTTATATTGTGACTTCCACTTCAGTGACGGGAGTCCAGCTCGGAGAGATACGTACACAAGCAGGGTTGACTAACCCGATATTTATCTCAGACATCTGGGCTGATTCCTTGCAATTCCTTCAGGTGTTGTTACGTTAAATCTACAAAATGTGGTAAACCTTGAAATATATCGAAAATAAGTTGAAATCTTTAGAATTGTCTAGACAATCAACAATTTTGTTAGGTCTTCTAAACTACAAGAAACTTCTTGATCTGTTCGACATCTTGTATCTTCAGTGAAGAGAAATCAAGGTTGTCGTCCGTGCAACGACAAAAATACCTCAACAAAAAGAAAAACATATGTTGCAGAAATGTCTTGAAAATCGACCTCTTAAAAGAATATTAGCGAAATAAAGCGTGAGAGAAGCAGGTAAATAGAACTGGTTTAAGATCATGTCGAGTGGTTAGTTTTCTTATTAACTCATTATTACAATCAATATCATACGCAGAACTTGAGCATCAAAACGCCATGCAATTCATTTCATATCTCATTCATGCTACGAGTATTAAGTAGAATTTTGTAATACCATGCCAAAGGGTTCTGACGATGATGTATGGCACTTAGGATTACTGGGATTTGTCCATCGCCCGGTATTCTGCAAAACATAAAATAACACAACGTTTCCGAAACTGAATCTCTTTCCTTCCTCAGTCCGGACAGTATACAGTGATTGAGGTTAGCTCTTCCTAACGAATCAAACGGAATAGGGGTTTCCCACTTTTCACCTGAGGACGGAAACAGATATAGTTTCCGAAACACTATGTTCTTTCGTGTTTTCTAAAATAGCGGACAATGAAGAAAGCCATGAACACCGTAATCCTGAGAATTTTTTTAAGTATCCGTGACTAATACGTGCCCTACCGATTTACAAATAACCAAATTCAAATTATTTTCATAAAATTAATGCAAAGCACATAAAATATTTTGGCATATTCGTCCGGTCATTTGACACAATAAATTCACAGGCAGATGTAGTCATTAAATTGAATACCGTGATATTTTTTAAGCATTTCTGTATTAATTATTTGTGTCAATTTTTAGTGCGACTGCTATAAAGATTTATTTATGTACAGATATTTTTATTCAATAGTCCGGTGTTTGATTAAATGTCTATCAAACGTTCCAGTTCATCGCCACAGCTTTTGTTAAAGTAAACTCTACTTAAATAAGGCAACGGAGATTTATTGTGCCATAGTCCCGCTGGCCAGTACGATGTTCAACTGTTTAATCGAGCAAGAGATGGTGATTGCTTTTGCATTAAATAATTTCAAAACAAAGAAACCGTCGATCACAGATCGATTTTCTTATGAGAATCAATCGTGCTAGCCTAGCAACAATCCCAGAGACACAGACGAAGAGATAACAGGGAGAACGTATTTTAGATTGGGACAGTAGAGAAGCAGTAATTGTTTCCAAATATTGTTAGTTTCTTAGCAGCTGTGACCAGGCAGCTTTAAACAGTTACTGTTCTAAGTTTTTCTTTCAGTTTAAAATTGCATTTTCTACCGGAAATATATTTCGCCAATTCATCAAACTGGCGCACAATTTTCGGTTAGCTTCTGCAGACTTTATTAAGGAAGCATTGTTGCGAGCTGTGTCGCGTATGAGTGACACTACCCTATATTAATTTACGCTATAGCTGTATATAATGTTGACCATATGATGTTATAATATCTAGCCTTCATTGTAATCCGATGTATGGGCGATATTTACCTTGTAATTGACTTTTTTTAGCCCCTTGCCACTACAGCCCCAGTGGGCCTAGGCCTACTTCCATGAACTTCTCCGTTCACTTCGGTCTTTCTAGATCTTACACATACGGTAGGATTCCTTGGGCGGGTGATCAGCTCGTCGCAAGGCCTCTACCTGTACACAAACACAGAGAAAAGCACACACACAAATTAACATCCATGCCCTGAGTGAATTGAATTCTAGTACTACTTAACTATAAGCATCACAGAACTTCTTGAAGAGAAATCCCTCAGATTGACAAAAATTCCAAGAATTTTCTGGATTTGGAAGTCCTATACAGTCAACGCCCTCCATCTTATTCCTTAAAATCAGGTTTATGTCCTCTCATATACCTCCAGATCCTCTAACTGATCCTTTTCCTTCAGGATTTTGTATCAACACTTTGCATACATTTCTGTTCCTCTCCCATGCGTTCTGCTTTCCTTGATCGTCTTGTCTTCCTTGATTTCATCATTCTAGTACCATTTGATGGCCATTAACGGTAGCCGCGCGTTTTAAGCCATGACCTGTCTTGGGATCGTGGGTTCGAATGCCACTGAATGCATGGATGTTTGGTGTGTGTTCGCGTTTATTCTGTGTTTGTGTTGCTCTGGTTTTAGGTAGAGGACTGATCACTCGTCCACGGAGTCCTACCGTCTGTGAAAAATGATTAGGGAACTGAATAAGAGGCCAGAGCCCTGAATGTCCGGGAAGAGGCATTGAAAAAGAAACATTTGATGAGGGATACAATTTATGAAGCTCCTCTTTATGAAGTTTTCTGCAGCCTCTCTTAGGTTCCCACCTTTAGGTCCAAATATAAATCTCAGGACGCCATGCCAAGTGTCCTCAATCTGCAAGATTCCTTAGTCCTGGAGACCAATTCTCACACGCATACAACAAGAAGAAGCAACATTGTAGAGAGAGTAATTAGTTTATCAGTCATGTTGAATTCAAAATGGATCATGTCGGTAAAATACTTGTTTAGAGACCAAAGTCGCAGTCTCACTTCCTGTAAGCCTCTCTACAAAACCATGCTTATCCTTTCGACACTCGCAGAGCAAAGTCCTGCCAGGTAGCCTAACTTCTGACTTCTCGTCAAGATGCCTGGTTCGAATTTCGGTCGGAATTCTGACTATCGTGACTGTGGTGTTTCATAATTTTCTTCAGTCTCTCCAGTCAGATGCCAGGATAGTAATTTAAAATAGACCACGGCTGCTCACTACCACTTTATTCCAAATTTATCATCATTATTCGAAATTGCATAATTTGACACACTGAAAGCACTGTTAAATATAACATAAATAGATAAAATAGGTAAATTTAAGTATTCTGTGTATTAAACAGGTCTTTAAACGTGTTGGTGCAGTTGCGAGTGTTCTGTTGAATTTCGTACGTCACGTATCCTACCGTTTCCATCAGGAAAGAAGATGGGTTTCAAAATATGAGTCGTAATGACACATGATAATTTCATAGAGTGATAAGCAAAACTGCCGATCACAATGGCCGCGAGGTCTAGGGCATGAACCTTTTGGTTGATCACTCAAGAAGTATTCCTCGTTAGGTAAAGTTATCATGCCACTGTTTGTATTGATTTAATTTCCTGACTTTAATTTTATATTTTTGTTGTTGTCAGTATTTCCAGTCTAGAAAATCGAGATTAACGGCCGTGTGGAACCGTTGCGCTGACCACGTGACAACCCCTATCCGCAAAAGTTGGCACTAACTTCACTGACAAGCGACGTTCGCTTAGTCGGTATAGCTTGCTTGCGGGCTATAAGCCATGGATATTTGTTATTGTCAGTATTAATGTTGAGTTCATAGAGACGCATAATATTTAGGCAAATGGGGAATAGTATTTGACTTATTACAATAAATAAACAATAAGCCATATAAAACAAGAAAATTAATGAGAAAGATAAAGCGAGTTGTTGGCTGATGCAGACAAAGCGAAAAGAATTCAATAACTACCGAAATCTACATTTCATTTGGTTTATAGCAGTAGGTTTAGAAATATACGCGTCATGCGGCAAGCACTAATAAGGGTATTGAATACAATACAATATTAGTCCTATCCATTTATATGTTCAGTTGACATTCATGTATTCAAAAGACACTGTTGTAGGTTGTCGATATCATAAGGAGCTATTTGTCTTTATTTTCCCCCGCATGCAATTAGCTGTATATCAGAATTATTAATGAGATTGCTAAGAGTCACAGTTTCGTCTGACCTCTGTTAGTTCAAGTTCGGCACAGCTGGACAAATGAGGGATATAAAATACCGTCCAAGGCGTAACCCAGTATTTTCACCAGACGCTTTTTGCAGTTCAAGCTCTCTGTAAGTAACCACAGAACTGATTCTGGATTCACAGTATCCACTCGCCAGTTCCTGTAACTTAAAACTGGCTTATATTTTCAGCTCTGTCTGTTCACAGCGTAGAGTCCCCGCATTAAAGAAATTACTACTCTTTTTATAAAATTCCTATTAGAATGAAAGTGGATAGGGTTGCGTGCCCTCCGTAACCGTTTAAATATTAATGATGTAGAGTATTTGATTGGGGCACTATGCTACAACCACGAAGGTAGCGGGTTCGATAGAAATGAGAATCAGAAATCTTCCTGGGGGTAAACGGCGAGCAGTGCCTGGGGTTGACGACCTCATCGCCGTCTGTGAGCTGATTTTCTAGAAAATGTGTGAACCTCGACGTCTCACAATCCTATGGTCCTCCCCGATCCCTTGCAGGGATAACTTTATATTAACTTCGATTCAGTTCTCATATATCCATTATTATTATTATTGTTGTTATTATTATTATTATTATTATTATTATTATTGCTTCAATTTCAAGGTTTTTATTACAGCCAGGCAAAGTATTTCGTTTTCTGCTATAAAACAGACACAATTTGCACAGTGATACAGAAACAATTTATATCTACGTTTGAGAGACATATAGTTCCTTAGCCTTGCCATAAACGTGTAAAAATTACTATACATGGCCGACCTTTCAAATCAAAAACTAAATTGTAATTCTGTAGTTTTAGAAGTAAAGAAATATATTGAATCTAAGAGTGTGTGACTTCAAAAGGAATTGTTTTTGAAAAGCTGTGAAATTTTATATCAGTGGAGGGCTTTTGCGAACACGTTGATGAACCTTCGAGTCCCATAAAATTCTGGTCATTTCTTGAATAGCTGCACTGTTAGAGGCCTCTTAAGAAGGGCTCGGATTCATGAGTGAGTGAGTGTGAAATTTTATAAGGAACTGTATTTCCTGGCCATTACAATTTCTGGAACGAAGGTCTATTTTCAAACTTTCTCGTAAGCACCAACCGAGGATGACCCCTTGGAGACGTAGAATGCTACGTCATGTCAGACTTTATTGCTGTGAAAGAGTAGCTGAATTTCGGCCCCTGGCTTCAAACTGGAATCTGCAGGATCAACAGGAAGAAGGGTTTACAGACGAGTATAGGGCCAAAGACGGCGAGAAACAACCTCCTGTTTGAGGAGGGATGTCTTGGGAAGTGGAGGAAGAGTGTTGGTTTAGTGGCCTGCGCACTCTTATATTTTAATATTTTGTGGAGTTTTGAGTAATTATTGAAATTTTTTAATTATAAATACGAGAGAGTGAAGGAACTATAGTTAGAAGGTCTGAATGAGCTGGTTACATGAAAGTTGTCTGTTAGGTGAGTCTTCTGTAACAGATAATTCTTGTTCAGGGCCGCCCCATAACTCAGGCAGTTAGTCGCTGATTTCCCACTGTGGCAGACCGAGTTCGATCCCAGGTCAGGTCATATGGAATTTGTGGTGGACAATGTGGCGCTGGGGTAGGTTTTCTCTGAGTATTTTGGTTTCCCCTGCCAATTCTCATTCCACCGACTGCACCACACTCATCACCTATCATCCGGGGTGGTACAATAGGCCAGTTAGTGGCCGAGGTACCAAGTTGACTCAAGTCTCACCCAACCCCAAGAAAAACTAAAAGGACCTATTACTCGTGCAATCTGAAGCCACGCCATTTGAAGCTTAATGGTTAGAAGCTCAAAGCCGTTGCAAAGTTCTTAGTACTTCGTAAATATAATGAATAGTGCCTGAAAGTGTAGAAACGCGATTTTGATGGCGGTTCAGCACCCTTTTCCAATTTAACTCGTTCTCTTTTACCCTCTACCGATTATAGCCAGTCAAGAGCCAAGAACCGCCTATTGGTATGACATCTTTAACAATACATTGGAAATCATTAAAAATCATGAAAGAGATGTTCAGACATAGGTTTAGCTAATCCAACAAACTTGTAAATTCCTTTTCTTTACGTCTTTTCTTTCCTTCTTTTTTGCAGAAACGATTTTCTGGGACTCGTGAGAAACGAAACTAGAACATGATTGTTCATTTGTCAAATAACAGTGACTGTGCGCGAGGACTCGAAAATTACACTTTCTGAGACCTACAGAAAATTTGTAGTTGATGCAACATAACAATTGAATTTTATTTGCTTTAATACTTAACATACGTATTAGTGTTAAATCCATATAAATGAAATAATATGAAAATGGCATTTAATTTCGACAATTTCTCCCAGTGCACCATGTATGTTCTGCTGGTCTTTGCCACGATTTTGGGGCCAGTTGGTGCATTCCTGCAAATCACCTTATGTGACCAGCCTTTGATGGACTGCACTAAATTCATAAGTGAGCAACACTTCACTCCAGCACACCCTGTCGTGATAGTCCTGCCACCAACGGAAGAAGACTCAACTACGGAAGAAGTGGGATATTTGATTACAGCACTCCATACTTCCAGTCGTTGGCCCCTACTCCTGTTTAATACCACTTATGAGATGAAGGGAAAGATGAACACGGAAATATACCAACATGGCAATTACATAATTCTCATATCAGGATCCTGCAGAAACTTTGATGAGTATATGGAAAAGTTTTCGAAACAGTTGGCAGGATTGGCTTATGGTAATGTTCAGCACTCATGGAATCCGAGAGCCAAATTTATTCTTCCTGTAATGTCCGCTTGCACGGATTATAACACTACATACCTTTCCGGAGCTATTCTGAGTAAACTCTGGCTTTATAAAGTTACGAATAGCGTTGTCCTCTTTCTGGAATCAAATGGCCACATAACAAAGTTCCTTCAGCGGAATGAAACCGGTTCAGCTCCAAACGTGCGTCTGAGTCTCCACACTTGGTTTCCTTATGAGAATTCGCAAAGCTGCAATCCGATAGACGGCACTGTACCAATAAGAGTATTCTTCTTAAGAAATGTGAGTGACATCCATCGCGGCGAAATATTTCGAGGATATATTGGTAAGAACTTACACAGATGTCCCATTAGGATTCTTGCAAGAGTTAAACCACCTTTCGTTTTTATACCGAATCGAATTTGGTTGAACGCTTCCGGAAGGTATACTCTTGTGTACAACAAAGGTTGGGATATTGGAATCATATCAGCAATATCCGACTCACTTAACCTCTCCGTTGTGGTCCTGCCAGCTCGCTATCCAAGAAGTAAAAGTGTTAGAAATTTTGTATCTGTAAATATTTTAAGTGCAGAACTCGTGAAAGGCAGAGCAGACATAGTCATTGGGCAGGTCCTTAGGGAAGAGATCTTTAGTCACTCTTTGGAAACCACACGGAGCTATTACAGTATGAGGATAGCTTGGTGCACACCATGTGCCACAAAATATCCTAGATGGACTCGTATCTTCAGGATATTTTCTGTATATCTTTGGATATATTTTATTTTATCTCTGGTCCTGGCTATTATTACAGTGATCTGCATTTCCAACTACGGACACAAATTCCACTTGCCTGAATTCGGACTATACAGGGATATTATTAGCGTTACGGCAAACGTTACAGCGGTCGCACTAGGGATATCTGTAGCCACAAAGCCTCGTACTTCATCGCTTCGAGTGTTCTTTTTTTCCTGGGTGTGCCACAGTCTTGCAATGAGTACCGTATTCCAGGCATACCTCACGTCATTTCTTATCGACACGGGATACGAGGAACCAATCAGAACTGTTGAGGAGATGCTAAACGCTGGTATGAGATTTGGTTTTCCTCCTTCGTACAAGATGTTTTTTAATGATTCTACGGATTCTATTGGCGAGGCTATTTTAAGAAAGGTGACCCTGTGTCCTGATGAAGGTATCTGCCTCAAATGGGCAAGTGAGGGCCGTAACATATCAACACTCCGGTCCGATATGACTACAGAGTTTATGCATTCCATCGGGTCTTCAACAGATGACAATAACAGACCGTTACTCTGTGACCTGGAAGATGGCGTTGTTGTGTATTTTCAAGCCGTAATGGCAGTCTTAAAGGGAAATCCATTATTGGAGCATATTAATGACGTCATAGATCGAATCGTAGAAGGAGGTCTCTTTAAGGAATGGAAGAAATTGTTCTTCAACCACGCAAGGGTGGCTAAAAAGGCACCTTCTTCTTATACGCTAGCTGACACGTACCTGAATATCAGTCTTATACATATGCAGTCCGCGTTCTATCTCTTCTTATTGGGACATGCAGCTGCACTTTTCTCTTTTGTGATAGAAATGGTATGGAACAGTCGCGCGTCAAAACAGAGGGAGGCAACGGGCTAGTCCGTCCCTTGCGGGGCCACATAAACGCAGAAAATTTTGAAGCCTGTCTAACGTGACCCTACTTTCTACAGGAGACTTTGTCATATTACATGTAGTTACGTGAAGCAGATAAGAGATGCAAAGTCATGCCTAGGACAGACAAACTGTGACATCAGCATTGCGTCTTGAAAGACTCTAAATATGTACATCCTTAGCGAGAATATGTATTTATGAATATGTACAATTTATTTTAATAATGATTATGTGTATGATATATATTGACATAAATTTATTTCTTTTACTAACAAACTGTATTCGACAGAAATTGCTTCTTGTTATCACATCCTTGTATAATTATAAAGAGAATCTCTAAGCCTGAGATGTATTGTTAGCATTATGCCATTTCAGTTTACCATAATAAACAGTTTTCGATCGTTGATTTGCTGCATGAACTTGAGTTCTGTAACAGATTACGAATATGATATTGTATCCTGTATTATTTTAGTGTATTGTGTGTATTTTTAGTACTCATCTTATCTTGGTGTGCACACAAAAGTGGTGGTTTATGATTGACTAATTGTGCGTGTTGTTCTTGGGTGATGGCTTTAAAGGCCAGCCTCTAAGTGTCATTCGATAATACGTAGGAACGGGAAGGAATACAGTAGAGAGTATGGGAACTTGACTGTACAACCGCGTGTGTAACGAATGACGTCACTTCCCGTTGGATTCACAGCGAATATGGCGCTAGTGGCGACGTAAAATAAGATAAGCAGCTATTAAAGGCCTTCCTCAGTGGCCATTAAAGCGTTTTATTGCTCTTACGACTATAACACAGAATTTGTCTTCTATTAATTAAGTACTTTCTGCAATTCCTTTTTGTAGCTTCCTATCTTCACGCTTCCACTTCTTCCATCTTCATTCCTCTTCCTTTCCTTTCATTACTTTAGCAGCATTACTGTTCTTCTCAATATACAAATAAATTTCTACCTAATCTGATGTTCGCTTATCATCTCTTCTGCAACAGGTTTTCTCACAAACATCAATATGCAGGGTTACTACAAGCGATTCATTCCATTTCAAAACACTATATCGGTCGCCCCGTGCTTTTCCGTTTACACAGACAACCTTAAACTGCCAATACCACAGCAGAATACTCTGTTTACATGGTGGTTCTTTTCTGTGCTATGCTCTGAATGCAAGCTGCACTGCAATAACAGACTAATATCTCGCATATTCCAACACACAGAAACTCTTTTCCAGCTTCAAGGTCTTGAGTTCAATCATGTCTATGTGCAGTCTTCATGTAATATTCTTATCGAAGATCTCACCGAGATAGTTTACACGAAGAACTATTCTTGCTTCAATTGTCCTTCTTATAACGCCTTTGCAAGGACCGAATAAAAAACACTGTTTTCAAAAGTACGTCTATTTTTTCATGGGTATCAGTTGTCGAGGGAAGGTGTTTATCTAGCAGTTTTCTAGAAACTGCTCTGGTATATTTGCTTGTCTCGCGGTCGCTTGCTTGCATAATAAAGGTTCTACACTCTACAATAATATACAAATAATTTGTTCAAAATTACGCAAATCTCTTTTGTGTACTTTAAATTTCATGATCTCGCCTTTTGGTATTTATAACTGTTAATCACGAAACAAATGTAGTGGTCTTGTCAAACTCCGAAGTGGTAAAGACAACGCTATTCAGTGTACTGTGCTATATATATGTGTGTGTGTTGCAATCTTCTGAAAATTGTACAGGTTTGCTGACATTTCAAGAATATTGAAAATAATTTGTAATCTCAAAAATTACATTTTTTTATTTACTAAATGATCAATAATTACGCATTACTATAAAATATATTCGATGATAATTATAAATTTACTAGTCCACAGCAGGAAATTTGATGTTTCGGTAACTTTACGACACTGTATTCAGCGTTTAAATTGTACAGTGCTGAGTGGTTGATCGCCAATTGTGAATTTAAAGAGAAAAAAAGAAAGCCATTGTGGAATATTATCCTGCTAAACAGACTGATAGAAACAAGATAAGGTTCACACTCTGTATACGGTATTTAGGTCCAAGTTTCAGTTCAAGTCTTCGTGAATATGAGAACTGAATACAAGACACTACGCCACAAGGTTCGCAAAACCTGATGTGAGTGGCATTACATCATAACATAAAAAGTTTTTCGTGATGAATAGCAAATATTCTGAACGCTTAAATTTATTACTCTGGACTTTTTCTGTCTCCAGGGTTTATTAAAAGCAGCACATTTCGTAAATTGACTCTTTTCCTACCTTCAGACAAATAGGATTCTGGAGACAAGGTACACTCTTAGGAACTACTCCAAATCACGAAACAGTAAAACAACTTTCAAGTGTTCTCTTGAAACTACGTCAAACATAGTCCTAACTGCTGCAATTTTATTTGACTGAGTTTTTAAATAGGTCAAAATTTCTCTATAAAAATGCAGTTCCAGAGAAAAAAACGTATTTTTTAAACCAAAACCTTATTACCATCAGGCAGAAGTAGTAAGTTTGTGTGCATATGGAGTTCATAATATTTTTATAAGAGCTAATCCCCACTACAAACAACGGCTGTCCAGAAGCTGCGGAAACTCGTGACGATTGTCAGTTTATTTTTAATCGCCTGAGTAAATAAAACTCTAAAGCGGCACTGGAGTCAATCACCCTCACTACGTCCTAGGTAGCATCCTGCAGCAGGGTTGTCCAAGAACTATATTTAGAAGGCATTAAAGTACAGCAAAAGAAATTAAATTATAATTCCAGCACATTTCAACGATTATTACATTCTCATATGCAGGAGGTGGACAAAACAATGGAAACACTAAGAAACTGAGGAACGGAATTAATTTGTGTTGGCTAAATTGAAAGAACGTCAGTTGCCAACACTGAATATTATTTTTCCGTTTGTTTACACTCCCGTAGTGCTCGTGTTAGTGCATATATAATTCCGTTGAGTGACAGTCCCTGTGAGAGAATCTGAGAATTGGAGACTTGTGCAGTTTTGAAAGAAGACAGATTATTGGTGCGCGTTTAGCTGGGGCACCTATGACAAAATGTGGCACATTATCAGGCGTATCGAGAGCGACGGTTTCTATGGTTTCGTCGGTATACACGAATCGTGGGAAGACAACAGCGAAGAGAGAAAATTGGCAAAATTCCACACTGAGATCTCGTACATTGAGAAGGATTATTTCGAATAATCACTGAACCACTGCAGCGCATGTGACAGCAGAACTGAATATTCATCTTAAAGACCCCGTTTCCACAAAAACTGTCCGACGTGAGCATCACACATCCTACATCCACGGTAAGGCTGCAATTGCTAAACCTCTGTTCACAGACAGTAATGCTCATATGCGGAAACTATGGTGTCATATCCATACAACCTGGACATCAGACAACTGGAGACGCGCGTGATATGGCCACGTGAGTCATCCTTCGCGCTGTCCCCTACATCAGGAACAGTTTATGTTTGGAGAACACCCAAGAAAGCGTACAATTCGAAATTCCTGGTTGCAACAGTGAAACATGGGGATGTCCTGTAATGGTTTGGGAACAGTATGGCGGTACTCTGCTGGTCCCACTATCAACCTTCCTGGCCGAATTACTGCAAGGGAGTATTTGGAAATGTTGGGTAATCAGGTGTATCCCATGATCCAGACGTTATTCCAGAAAAACGATGCACTTTTCCAAGACGACAGTGCCCCTATTCACACAGTTACAATTATTCAATCATGGTTTGAAGAGCATGAAAGTGAACTTCAACATCTTCCTTGGCCAGTGAATTTCCCAGATTAGGATATCACTGAAGCACTCTGTTCAGTTTTGGAGACTAGGTTGAGGAAAACTTTCCCACTTCCAACATCTCTAAAGTAATTCTGTATTTAAGAATCTTGTTGCAAGCCATATTAAAACATCTATGTAATTAATTAATTGCTAGTGGGTTGGGACTAAGTCCCTTGTACTACGGCCACTTCTGGCCTATTGTACCAGCCCCAGATAATAGGTGAGGGTGATTGTGAAGCAATTGGTGGAATTAAGATTGGCAGGGGAGACCGAAGTACTCGGAGAACACCTGCCACAGCGAACACTTTGCCCACCACAAATCCCACGTGAACAGACCCGGGATCGAAACCGGGCCGCCGCGGTTGGAAGCCAGCGACTAACTGCTTGAGCTATGGCGCGGCCAAAACGTCTATGTATAACACAGTCCATCAATAGTGCAACAAATTTTTCCTTTCTCTCCCACTTACACTTTAACACAACATGTTTCGACCTTAGATGGCCATCTTCAGGTGTTTTAATATATCAAAAAAATTAATGAATTTTATTTTATTTTATTAAGTACACTACAACGTGTGACTTTGCCACATATTAATGCAGTGTAAGCAGTTTTGATATATCAAGACACTTGAAGATGGCCATCTAAGGCCGAAACATGTTGTGTTAAAGTGTAAGTGGAAGAAAAAGGAATAATTTATTGTTGCATTATTGATGGACTGTGTTATACATGGACGTTTTTATCTCTGAAGTAACTTGAAAGTGTTCTTCGAGGAAAATGGTACACAATTCCGCTAGACAACTGTTCAATGCTTTTACGAATTAATTCCAAGAAGAATGAAACTATGTTGAAGGCAAAATTTGGACCAGGGCCACATCTGTAGTCTTTCCATTATTTTGTCCAACCCTTGTACGTGGAATGGACTCTATGAGAAAATAACTGAAAACGTGAAACTATCGACCTCGCTATTATGATGGACGCAAATGTTCTGTGAGTCTCCGAATACGAAAAGTGGTTGCTGGAATGCAGATTATCTGTTTGTATCTGTATGTGAGTGCACGTGCCCTCCTACGTACTCTGAATGGTTGCATGGATTTTGTTGGTATTCGATATTTAGGATTTTATTCGTCGTAGGTCGATTCCTGGTGAATTATGAATTTCCTAGTTGTAGGCTCTTTAGATAGGCACGAAGGTGAAAAATTACAATTTTCTTAATAACGGCCAGAAATATTTTAATTAAATTCCAATTATTTATGGTAAATGTATCCCTGTAAGAAACTACGTAAGTAGTATTTATATATATTTTATATATATATATACACACGCTCATTAGGGGTAAAAACAGAAACTTTCGATTTTACCAAATCCGGCAGTTGTGGCCGGGCGAAATTCATCGTTAGTCTGCATTCAGTAACCAGCAGTAGTATTCCGAGTAGCAATGTATACGAGCTTCTTTTCCGAGCTAAATATGGGGGGGCATGTGCAATGCATTTGCATCGGTTCTTTGCGTGTTTCATTCATGGATGCACT